TGCGCGGATGACATGTGGGGGGGGAGGTGGTGGAGGAGACATGTCCGGAGCGCCTCGTCGCATAAATTAAAAACCTTTGATACCGTAGGCTGTCGTGACGGTCGTCCTAATACATTTTCTTTATTTTAAATGGGCCGTGAAAAAAAAAAAGAAGGGCACGAGGAGTGCCGGGAAAATTATCATATTTAATTTCTTTGCGGACATTTTTTCGAGTTCCGCTCTTTTACTGGGCTATTGTCTTTTTTTTTATTCTACTTCAGTAGGTAATGGTACCAAATCGCACGACTCTTGCACCGAGCACGCACACACCAACAAACTCTTAGGGGTACGACCACCACACCTCATCGTGCGGGCAAACGGCTGTGGTTTAGTGCAGTTTTCCCCCATGTGTTTTACACGGCGAGGGACTGATGCGTCATTCGACATAACACCGGCGGGTGATTTATAGCCGAGGTACGGTCGGAATTTCGTTGTGTGCCGCGACAAGTGCTTACCGTTGGCATTATAATTTTTTGCCTATTGTCGTGCCTCACCGACGGGAACACATCCTGGTGCGGCGGTTCTTCGAAACACAACGGCAAACGGTACCTCGGCCATCAGACACCAAATGCTATCTTTTCGGATGGGATCTCGCACGACCGTATCGTTTGTTCAATCTTATCTGGTATCTAGACAGGGCTCAATGTTAAAGGTGCACCGTTGAGATTTATCTCATTCAATAGGAGAATGCCTACTTAACGCAAATCTCCATTGGCAAATAAACTGTCATTCAGCCGACGGTCTTGGAAACTCTTCGTGTTTTGCGCAGTATTAACTAAAATTAATCAATTTCGTTGGCCCGTATGGGAAAATAAACCATCTCATCTCTCGGGCATCCTCTTCAGTCATGTTTGCTCATTTTTTCCTTTTCTTAAATCAATTTCCGCCGGTTAAGCCTTGTTTGCTTTGCTCGACAGAACGATCGCTGTGTTTGAGCAAATTAAATTTTACAACGTTAAACATATTTGAGCGAACCGGACGACCGGCGGTAGTTTGTTGGCTGCGCTCGTCAGAAATTGTTTGCCCTCCGTCATCCATTCCATAGCGAGTGGTGTTTACTGTTTCGAGCTACTCTGAAAAAACAACAATAGTAATAACCGATTTTAAAAATGAAACAATAATTACATTTCTGTGAAGTCGCCGAGATGGAAATGATTAACGTTTTTTTTTTGATTTCGTTAAACCTGCACATTTTCACGTATGACATCATCGAACAGCAAATAGTACTTTACTTATTTATACTGACAATTTAAGTCTAATTGTTTCTTATTAAAAACAGTAATCAACAATGTCATTCGGTGGACTTTTATTTTACTGAATTTTTATTTCTCATATGAAATCTAATACTTTTTTACACAGTTTTATCGACATGATTGATATAGTCTCGAACATATTTCAAAGAGCAGATAATTAAGAAATATCTAACTTTTTATTTATTGTATTTCAATTGGAGACATGTTTTTTTATTAAAATATTTAAAATTGCAAAGTTCATTTTTTCACTAATTTTTATCAAACAAATTTTCTTTGAGCTAATCCCAGTAATTGAATTTTGAAAAATTACAGCAGTTTTCATGAGTTTTTAAATTTATGAAACATATATAAATATATTAATTAGAATTGGAAAGATATTGTTGGATTTGTTTTTAAACGAACAAAAATTACGCGTATTTCTTGATAGATTGTTGGTATTTGTGATTATTCTTCCACTTTGCAATGATCAAATTTTGGATTACATGTGATTGAGTAACTAATGTCGATCCCGTTTGATGAAAGTTGTGCATTACAACTGTTACCGTCGGAGGTAATCGAAAAACTGTGTACTGAGCACAGAAATTGGAAGTCTGCCCGTTACATTATTGTGTGTACAAAAATATTACATATAATGATCCGGCGCCAACCGCATCGAGTTGTCCAGACTTCGCATGTGAACTAGACAAAAAAAAAATACCACAATATTATACATACACAATACACAACGCACACACACGAATTACTGCATTTGACGACGACAATTTATCGTCGTCAATATAATATGTACCACGAAAAAAAAAAAAAAGACTTGCTCTCCGAATAACCACTACGGCCGCAGAGTACTACTCGTTCGGAATAATAATAACGACGTTTAATAAACTCTCCAAAGGGGGTCGTCGAATTACACACCAATTCTGCCTGGGTCCTTTATAAATGCTGTCCACCTCCCGGCGGCGTACACAATATATCTTCTTTGTATGTGTTAGCCAACAACTTTTATCGTCTTGCCGGCGCGACGTCGTCCTTTCCCCGCGCGCGTTAACTATAACAATGCCCGTACAATACACTTCACATTTATAAAGCTTTAGCTGTCTAAGCCCTCTTTTAGCCAATGACTCACGACGATTGCAGTGGTTGTCCCGCGAGAGCCGAGGTGTGTCGCAACGGGACGGTATCGCCGTATAAATGTATAATGTGTTACGCGGGCGGTAATAAAGACATGCGAGCAAAGTTTGAACATTTTCGCGTCGTACAACAGCGATTAGCTTAGGAGTTATACACTGTACGGCCGTTAAAAAATATCTTATTATGANATGCGAGCAAAGTTTGAACATTTTCGCGTCGTACAACAGCGATTAGCTTAGGAGTTATACACTGTACGGCCGTTAAAAAATAATAAGATATTATTACTGCCGGGCGGTACCGTTGGTTTGTGCGGAGAAGAACATTCCGAAATTTCGTTTCGCTAAACACCCAAAAAGGTTGTTTGTTTAATTGCTTTCTTTGAGCGTTTTAAATTAGCATTCCATGTGCGCGATTTCCGCCGTGAACTTTTTTAGCGTTGCGCACTGGACTGGAATAATCAGGGTTTAAAATACACTCCGTCACTGTGCTAACAGTTGTTCTTCATAAAAATCAGTTCACGTTCAGTTCACTACAAACAAAAAAATTGCGATAAACTAAAAGTAACAATTAGTCGTTGTAAGATCTCGACTTGGAAAGTTTCGTACCGTTGTTGTTGTTATTTTTTATGGCCCGTCAGCATTTCGAACATTATTCACGTATGCAAATGAATCAAACGCTGCTCGTTGTTATTTGGGCTCCGCTGCGATTGTCGTCGTGTATTTTAATAGACAGTGAAACGCTTCCTGTTTTGTACAACGCATTTGATTTGTAAGTGCGGCGCTGAATTTACGGCCGCAATAACTGCAACATCAGACCAAAACGTCGATTCGGTTTATCATGTGAAATTCACATGCATAAAAAAACGATAAAGCCATGCGGTTTGTGCGGAAGAAACGGATCGCGATTGTTATTTCTATTCGCGTGTGGTCCATTTGTGGAAATCGCTTGGTATGAATTTATAAACGTATGTGAATATACACTCGAACATAATCTACTCCCACGAGCGGCGGTTTATTTATATAATGCGTCCCCTCTCCGACGCACCTTTGTTCTGTTGGATAATTATAAAATATCAAAGGTAAATTCCGGTATTGAATTTCCACAATGGACTCGCGGTGGTTCGGCTTACGGGAATTTTTTTACACAGACTTCGTTTTTATTGTTATATTTTTTTATTCAGTTAAAAATAAGTTTTATAACGAGGCCAACCGAATTTCATTTTATTAATCGGCCGTAAACTTTCAAAGTACGTTTTTTTATACGTTTTCGCGCTTGAAAATAAATATCGACTACCAGTTGTTCTGCCAAACTTCGTTTATTGTTGTAGCGCGTTAGTTTACGACACAGGAAGTATTTTTTGTTTTAATAAATTCCATCATCTGTACACACGACGTATGTATCAATCAATGTTAGTAAACTAATTTTGAAAAACGCCGTAGAAATTTATTTATGACGGACGAACGATAGGAGTGGCCACCAGCACAGATACGTTACGATAAAAAGAATATTATTGCTTGTTATGTTTTTAATGTAACAGTTACAGGAAACACTAAACAATTATTTATACGTTCCAATGGGTTGTGGAAGTAGCGCTTCACTCTCAGCCTCTCCTTCGAGTACACCACTGATTTATAGCATTCCATTTCCGAGCTCTTTTTCGATCAAATATTAAAACGTCACTATAACGTGTGGATCACTCTACTTGCACTTTTTCTGTCGTTTGAATTTTGACACATTGCCTAGCCGTTTGAAATTGACGAGCTGTTGCCGTCCATTTTTGTTATTGATGATGATTGACGTGAGCTAAGATCATACTTGTTATTATCATCTAATCTGTAAAATAATAACAATTGTACGTTTGACAACAGACGTGTATAACGTATACCATTGACGTACTATAAAATATTTTGCATACATTCGTTCAGCTCTGTCCGGGACACTCTTTTCAATCAAGTGACACGCGTGAAGCTGTGAAATCGTCAATTCGAACAGCCTATTCCTTGTCACGACTGTTTCTGATATGATTTGGGAATATGTCGATTAAAAAAACATAGAGCAAATAAGGTTTTTGCGAATGTTTCAGTAGAAAGGCGGTCATCTCAATTAATGTGTGATGTATTAAATGATTACACACACTTAGTTGTTTGTACTTAATATCCGTGACTATCGTGTTTCAATGTTATGATAATACACAAAAAAAAAAAAATGACTGATGAATGAAAAGTAAAAAGAAATTGTTTGTAGAAAAACTCGGGTTTGTTGATAAGTTTCTCGTAGGACTCTTAAAAGTGATACTTTAAAACAACACTTATCATACTAGTAAACTTTTATTATTTTAAATACACATGGACTTAACAGTTACTTAATATTGTTTTTTGACATTTTTTTTTTGAATACAATATATAACCAGGAGACTCATTACTGCATAATTTCAACTGTTTACTATAATAACATAAGCAAATGTTGCCAACACGTAATAATTGTTTTCTTTTTTGAAATATGGAAATTCTATTCTTATATTTAACTTGGATATCCATGGAAGTGTTTCGGTATGATCAAGTTTGATGATATTTATTTTTTCAGATTTTTAATGAGACCAATAAATAATGAAGAGGTTATTACTATGACGATGTTTCAATGCGCTGATAGAACTGTAGAAGTACTAATGATTATACATGGAGTATAAAAACAAATAATATTCCACTAAACAATTTCAAAAATGCCTAAGAGTCAAATTTATAACTTAACATAAATTGAAATTTGCCAATATTATCATAGATTGTAAATGAAAAGACATGTTAGAAAAAATTAGCAATTGTCATCATCATTTATTGAAGGCAATGGATAAAAATAAATATATATAGTACTTACGAAACAAAATTGTGTTTATTCATAAAATTAAAATTATGTTATGGCAGATTAAAGATGAAGAAATAAAATATGAAAAAAATATTTTAGATACAAAAATAGCAAGATTACCTTTTGGTGTAAAAGTTGCTATTTTACATTATAAACGTTTTTGTAAAATATCATTTAAAATATTATCAAGCAATAACTTTTAAAAACTACTTTAATTATAATAATCTATTTTTTTTCCTTCTCTTTAATTTTACTATTATGGTTTTTTTTTGTGTATGTTAACACTTTTTTTCAGCTCTCATCATAAATGATTTTTTTTAACAGTACGTTAAAACATCACAAATGGTATGTTATCAAAGAAATTGACCTTACAATTGAAAAAATTTCCCCCGTTCCCTTTATATTGGGCAAATCCCCGCGAAAATAACAAATTTAAAAATCGCTAATTTTCGAATTTTTTTTCTCTTTTTTTATCTTAAAACTGCCATAACTTTTAAAAATAATTTTTTTTCTTTTAAAACCTTGGGCATTTCTTTTTTATATGATCTCATTTTATGATATCACAACAACTAATCTTCTATGTACAAATTTAATTTGCTATAACTTTATGTCAATTTACGTCAAAGGAACACGATTTTATCTTCTATGTGCACAAATGGCCGTCAAAGCTGCACAAAAAATAGGAGTTCATTTTGCTTTTGGAATAATCTACCAATATCTTAAAATTAATCACTATCTACAGATTTGCATCGTAGCGTTTTTTATGATAGTGATTTGTAGATAAAAGTTAGATTTTTCGTTAAATTCGATGAGCATTTCCCCATAGAAGAAAAGGTATCGGGAAAATTTTTTTTTTTTTTTGAACTTAAATTATATAATATAACCTTTAATTTGACATATATTTAAAGCTCGGAATATTTCCGGAACATTTTCAAAAATTAAATTGAATAAGTTCTACATTTACTCGCAAGATTTCAAGTTTTTAACCCCAATGTATAAAAGAAAATGGCACAATTTAAAGAAAAATAGGTCGAACGAAAGGTATATTTAATTTTTTTTAGAAACAAACATTTGTATTGATAAAATTTTCTACTTAAATTTGAAAGTGTTCCGGAAATATTGACACTTTTATATATATCTTAAATTAAGCTTATGTAATACAATTTATTATGGAAAAAAAAAATTTTGGACTTAATTTTATTTCATGGTGAAACCCTACCGTATGCTATTTTTGTGTTAAAAAAATTTTCGATTCTGTATTTTATTTTAAAATATCTTACAAAAGTTGTTGAGAATTTTAAATTATTTGATATTTATCTCATTTAGATTCAATAATTTAAATATATCTCATGGGGCCCATCACTGTAGTCCTCCCCGTTTGATCAAATTTCTTATACATATTAAAGATCTCATTTATTTTTTCAGTTCTCACTTAATCAACTTTATTTAACGATACATCAAATGATATTACCCTCAAAAATTGAAAAAATGTCCACTTTATCAATTAAAAAGTTACTTAGCCCACATTCTCAATACAGACAATTAAATCATTAATTTTTAATGTTTTTAATGTAATTATTGTCGAATTAGGTTTGACATGATAATATGTTTCAACTACAAAATCAAAAGTTTTTCTTTGTAATATATTAATTTTTTAACTTTATTTATGTGTAACTAACAGTCTATAATATTATAAATCATTATTAATATTTAACAAAAAAATTTTACAATTATAATCAAATTCTATAATACACTCAATTGAGTCAATTTTTTTAACAGCATTTTGATTGGTTTTTTTATTTAAAGTAAATATTTAAAATTAATAAAGTTCTTAATATTTCAATTGATGAATTTTTTTAAGCGCCAAAAGTTAATTAGAAATGATTGCTATAATTTCTATTTAAGTGATTTATTATAATAAAAATGCAAAAAAAAAAAACATTAATATAACTTAACAATACTATTTTTTTAATTCTCATTAAATTTTCTATTTAATAATGTAAATTTCAAACTTGATGTTGAGCTAAAAGTTATGGTAACAAATTTAACTTTTTTTTATTATAAACATTCAAAAAATCAACTTTATAATACCAAAAAAATAAGTTAAGAATGATATTTTACACTGACTATTTTTAAAATATTAAAAATTAAAATGTGTAATAATTTAAAAACAATTTTTTGAATTTTGAATTATTTTTTTATCGTTGTAAATCATAGTAAAAGAAATATTGATAATTTCTATCTAACTCTTGATGTTTAAATAGATGATACGATTGAAATATTCAGAAGTATTTTCCTTATAGTTAAGTATATCCTATAGTTTTTAACTTTTTATAATACTATCAAAAATGATTGGTGATGGAAATAGAGAGATATATAGAAATAGGAGTTAATTTTGTTTATGGAATAATGCCCTGTGGTCAGGTAAAGAGACAAATGTTTATAAAAATATATCAAATGATAGGAAAATACCTAAGACTTCAATATAAAAAATAATTGTGTTGATTCGTTTATTTTTCAAAAAGTTATGGTAGTTTTAAGAAAAAAAAAATTTTTAAAAATGTCGAATATAAGCGATTTTTAAAATCGTAATTTTGTTGGGGATTTCCCCTATTCACAATGAACAAGAGAAATTTTTTCAACTTTTAAGAGCAATGTCTTCAACTAGATACGATTTGTGATCTTTTAACATATCGTTGATAAAAATCGGTCCAGTGAGAGCTAAGAAAAAGTGGCGACAGACATGAAAAAAAATACATCATATTAAAATTATTACCTTATTAGCTTCGCATCCACTAAGAATAGTGTGGACGTGTCATAATTGGGACAAGTATAAATGATATATGACAGTGATTAAAATCACTATTATAAGAAACGCTTGGATACAAATCTGTAGATAGAGTTTAATTTAAAATTTTTAATGAATTATTCCAAAAGCAAAATTATCTACTATTTCTTTCATTATTCCTAGTTAGTACTTCTGTAATTTATAAGTATAATATATAATTAAATATCTATTATAGCAATGCAAAGTAGTATGAAATTGATTTTTAATCATTTAGTATTGTAATTTTTACGTTGATTTTATAAAAAAAATTATAAAGTAATTGCCCTTTTATTGCAAACGTGTATAAATATTGAAGGGCTTGAAACAAAACTTTTCAAAGGATAATTTGTGATTAATTATGAATAATTTATCTACAATGAATTTTCATCAGAGTCAATTATATACTTTTCTTAACCCATTTTTCGTGCAGATTTCAAATCTGTACTTAGATTTTTTCCATCACCACGAATTTTTGATATTATTGATAATATGTTAAAAATGAGTATTAACATATAAAAAAATAATCAAAAAATATGAAATTTATGAAACAGCGGACGAGATCATAGGTAAAACTAGGCACGGTTTACTTTTTAATATCAGTATATTATAGAATACTATATTCTATAGTATTCAAAAAATTTTTTTTTGAAAAATATTGCATCAAGTCATTATATTATTATATATGTTTGTTATAAAAGTAACCAAATATACTATTACGTTATAATATTTTTATAGTTTATCTATAAAAATTATAAAAATTTATAATTAATAAAAATCAATTTCATACTATATTTAACTACTAGAATAAGTATTCATATATTATACTTATAAATAAAATATATACTAATCTGGTATAATTAGGGAAGTAGGAGTTGATGTTGATTTTGGAATAATTCAATAATTTCTTCAAATTATACACTAACATATCTGTAAGACAGATTTGCATCGAATGGTTTCTTATGATTATAATAACTGTCAGATATCATCAATACTTGTTCAAACTATGTCACGTCCACGCTGTGCCGCGACCCTATCATGCTACAGTTTTTTAAAATATTAAATAAAAAATAGACAAACTATCATTAAATTTTTAGATTTGTTTTATAAAACCAAAATGAAAAATGTCATGCAGTTTATTATAATACAACATATGTTTTATTATTAATATTTAATTTATAATTTATAAAATTTATAAATTACGTAGAACAGAATAAATACGTGTCTTTTATACTTAATCAAATGATATTTTAATCGAAAATTTTTAGTTATAGTTAAGTGTAATTATATCACAATTTTTTCATTTAAAGTTGTCAGTTATAGTTTTTTATTATTTTACGTGGTTTTGTACATAAAAGCAGACCGGAGTACAAAATAAACAACAGCAATAGTAGATAATGTGATACAGTAGGGTGGCCCTCAAAAATCGAATGTCTTTTTTTTTTTTACGCTACCCCTTAATTTTTTTTTAATGGTCAAAAAAATGAGCTGTGCAAAATTTGGGACCGATCCGTTAAGGTTAACCCGTGCCCCGGGCCTATTAAGTTGAGTCGAAGAGTCAAATTTAATAGAAATAACTGATCTATGTCTCATAACTTTTTTTTCTCTTAACTTAGAATTATTAAAGTAAAACTCAAGTAAAGGAAATTTTACAAGGAATTCAAAAATAATAATTTCAATGTTGTTTTCTCAATAAATAGCCCACAAAAACACTAAATACAGTAAAAAACACGTCATAGTCTTAAAAATATGTTATAACGGATTTTGTTGATTTTTACTAATTTATTTTCATTTTATTCTATGGAAAACTCATATTCGTTCAAAAAAAGGTTCTAAAAGTTTAATTTTTTATGCCAATTACGATAATTATATTAGATTTATTATTTTATGGACAGTTAATTAATGATTAATTACAAACCTAACAAAATTTATTGCAGTATTACATTTTGTCGTATTACTGTATCAATTTTGGTTTACTGAATTGCTTTAAGATAGTTCTAATTTTATTATCATTAAAGATAAGTATATTTGTGTTATTTTCATTCGACTAACATAAATTGTGCGGTATAAATGCAGCAGACAGTTTGTGGACAAGTTTAATCATATTTTACCTGTTTATTGTTACATATTAAGTGATAAGTTTTAGTCACAAAGGTACACTATTATTGCTCTTAAAGATGTCTCTCAAAGTATTACGAACTAATATTTATCTTATTGGTAATTATTCCCACGAAATAACTGGTAGTAAATTACCATCTAATTTACAAGTGTTGAAAACATTGTTTTTTAATTTAAGAGTTGTAAAATTAAATGTTCGGCAAAGTGCGTTGTTAGTTTTACGTGAAGTAATGATTTTTTGGGATAAGGCGCGAATCCCAACTATGTTGGAAAGAAATNAGTGCGTTGTTAGTTTTACGTGAAGTAATGATTTTTTGGGATAAGGCGCGGATCCCAACTATGTTGGAAAGAAATTGTGTTGAAAAAATAGAACGTTTGTATGAAGAGTGGCGACTTCTACAAAAACACACTGGTCGAATTACAGTTAGCCACAAAGAAAAAGTAGATGCTTTTACATTAAAGTTTAATAACTTGTTTGATATTGCACATACTGATGCTTTAAGCCTTATAAAAATAGATGAAGATAGACTATTTTTGTTAAGTCAAAGAGAAGAAGGGCGACCAGGATTTTTGCATGGGATTTCTAATGAAATTAACTATAATAATGATAATGAAGAAATAGAAACTGAAAGCATAAACGTCTTACAGGGTATGTTGAATTAAAGTTTAAATTATCTAAAAATTTACATTAAAAATAATATAACTTATGATTTAAATTATTTTTAGATTTGGAAATTTCAATGGCATCCACTACATTAAGTGAGAACTCCGATACTGATGTTACTGATAACAGTTATGAATTGCCACCACCAAAAAAGCTGAAAGGTAAACGACAAATAATTACTCCTAAACTAGTTTGTGTTATGACAGTCGTAAAATAAGTGATAGAGCTGCTGTACACATACTTGTTGCCGTTGTTGAAGCGTTAGGGGAGAACATTGATGATTTTATTATTAATAGATCGTCAATTCAACGTTGTCGAGCAATCTTACGAAAAGAGAGGGCAGCTTCAATTAAAAATCAATTTAATGATTCCGATTTAAATGCTCTAGTATTACACTGGGATGGTAAGCTTCTCCCAGATTTAGTCGACAGTAAAATAATTGATAGAATGTCAATAATTGTTAGCAATAGTGATTCCGAAAAACTTCTCGCTATACCAATATTAGAACAAGGGACAGCTAAAAATCAAGCATTAATGCTATATGAAACTTTAGTCCAATGGAACATAAATAAATCAGTAAAGGCTTTATCTTTCGATACAACTGCTGTAAATAGTGGTCATTTAGGAGGTACTTGTGTTTTGTTGGAACGACTCTTAGAAAAAGAATTACTTTATTTACCTTGCCGCCACCATATATTTGAAATTATACTCAGAAGCATTTTCGATAATAAAATTAGTTGTTCTACTGGTAAAGACGTACTAATTTTCAAGCGATTTCAGCAGGCTTGGAATAATTTAAATAAAGAAAATTTTAAACCCCATATATTTGATAGTAATATTAAAGAAATGATAGAACCAGAACTTCAGAAGATAATAATTTTTGTAGAAAATAATTTAAATACAGTACAACCAAGGAATGACTATAAAGAATTCCTCGAGTTAACATTAATTTTTCTCGGTGTAAAAAGTCATAATAGTCCATTTTTTCATAAGCCAGGTGCTATTCATCATGCTCGATGGATGGCCAAGGCCATTTATAGCCTCAAAATATATTTATTTAGAGACGAATTCAAACTTAATAGCAGAGAAACACAAGGATTACGCGATGTTTGTTTGTTTTTGGTACTAGTTTATGTTGATTCATGGTTTACAGCAACTTCGGCGATTGCAGCACCATACAATGATTTGAATTTTGTTAAAAAATTATACAACTATAGATTAATAGACAGTGAAATATCCCAAATTGCGCTTTCTAAATTTATAAATCACTTATGGTACTTAAGTCCACAATCCATGGGCCTGGCATTTTTTGATAATAAAATAGATGTTAATATTAAAAGAAAAATGGTCGCTCAACTTAATTCAACGCCAAGTCAGACATCGAAACGTTTGAAATTAAACGAATCCGATATAGCCGATTTTGTAAAAAAAGATATTGAATATTTTTCTAAGATATGATTAACATTCAGATTATACACTTATAGGGAGTTCTCAATTAGATATAATTTATTGGTAAAAAAAATAGTAATCAAAAAGCATAACTTATAACGAAAAAATAAATTATTTTCTTTAATCGAAAAATGTAATAATACAATAATTTTAATTACATTTAATATGTAACAATAAACAGGTAAAATATGATTAAACTTGTCCACAAACTGTCTGCTGCATTTATACCGCACAATTTATGTCAGTCGAATGAAAATAACACAAATATACTTATCTTTAATGATAGTACAATTAGAACTATCTTAAAGCAATTCAGTAAACCAAAATTGATACAGTAATACGACAAAATGTAATAATGCAATAAATTTTGTTAGGTTTGTAATTAATCATTAATTAACTGTCCATAAAATAATAAATCTAATATAATTATCGTAATTGGCATTAAAAATTAAACTTTTAGAACCTTTTTTTAAACGAATATGAGTTTTCCATAGAATAAAATGAAAATAAATTAGTAAAAATCAACAAAATCCGTTATAACATATTTTTAAGACTATGACGCGTTTTTTACTGTATTTAGTGTTTTTGTGGGCTATTTATTGAGAAAACAACATTGAAATTATTATTTTTGAATTCCTTGTAAAATTTCCTTTACTTGAGTTTTACTTTAATAATTCTAAGTTAAGAGAAAAAAAAGTTATGAGACATAGATCAGTTATTTCTATTAAATTTGACTCTTCGACTCAACTTAATAGGCTCGGGGGCACGGGTTAACCTTAACGGATCGGTCCCAAATTTTGCACAGCTCATTTTTTTGACCATTAAAAAAAAATTAAGGGGTAGCGTAAAAAAAAAAAGACATTCGATTTTTGAGGGCCACCCTAGTGATACAGTGTTCGGGATAGAGAAATTTAAATGATTTGATCTTTATAAAATATTACAATAAAAAACATTATCTTCAAAGTTTGATTGAAACACCAACAGAAACTTTTTTTTTTTTACACGACCGACATTATTGTGGGCCGCCCTGGAACTACTGTTAGGCATTACTTCAGGGCGGCCCACGCCTTCTTAATAATTCACACCACCACGTTGTGAATCAGCCCGAAATTAATCTAGAGCTGATTCGCAACGTGGTGTGGCCCCCTCCTGTTAACCGGATCCCAGAGTAGGAACCGTTAAGGAGGTTTGTCAAAATAACTCACAAACAAAAACAAGAACCTAAGGCACTGGCCTAAACCAGCGCCTCAGGTCCTTTTGTGCCGGGCTACGTGGCTGCCTCTGTCTCAGGCATTCCGCTTCTTCCTTCTTTAACAAGACGGATTCGGCAAACGCCTGGACGAGCCTCCACGCCTATCGGCCCCTTAACATCAGGTCCACCATAGATCCGACTCGGAACATAGACCCTAGTCGGGACTCCAAAGGGTCCCGCTCCTGGGCCCACGCATCACATCGGAAGAGGGTGTGCAGAGTTCTGTCAGCCTCTCCCGGGCGATCCGAACAGTGGTCGCACGTCGGCGCGGCTGCTTTACGAATACGGTACTAGTACTCGTTAAAACAGCCGTGGCTGGAAATTACTTGGGTGAGACGATAAGTCAACTCACCGTGAGTCCGGTCCAGCCGATCGGGTCCTATAAGGGACCTGGTCCTCTCGCCTTTCATCGTTTTCTCCGAGATGCGAGTCTGCCACCGGAGCATGGTTATCCGTCTGAGCGCCAGCCGGTCCTCGGGTTCGAGGTACCGGCGGCGCGTTCCTCCGTGAGCAAGTTGGCGGGCGGCAGTGACGACAAGATACCCGCCGCCATTCCGGACACCTTTCGGTACGCCGAAACTGTCCGGATCGCCGCTCGCCTCTGTACCCTGAGCAGGGCTTCACGGTTTTTGGACAAATACACATGAGTATCCGCTCAAACCCGGGACCTATACAGGAGAACCGAGTGTACGACGGTGACTAAAAGTCTGCGCCACATCTCCCTCTGCCCTCCAGATTGGGCATGAGTTCCACCAGGCATTTCATGACTTTTTGGGCCCGAACTTTAGACGTTTGTCTATGACAAGGCCTAGATAAGTCATGGAGTCCTTAAGCGGTATCTCTTCCCCCAGCACAGCGAGCTGTGGAGGAGTGAACTTGTACCTGCCTGTGAACAAGATCGCTTCGGTCTTGTACAGGGCCAGGTTCAGTTCACTCCCCTTCAGCTGGATCTAGACGGTGATTGAGCTGAGCGCGCAGTTCGCACGAGATTCAGCCTCCTTGGACGAGGCGCCTTCCTCGTCCTTCTTCGATGAGACGAGTTCCGCCACCACCAGCGTGTCATCCGCGTAGCAGACGACGCGCACGTGCGTTGTACGCGATGTTCCATAGCAGAGGCCCGAGAACACACCAACAGATACTAATAAATGTCAAAAAAAAAAAAATTAGAGCTTTATCTGTATATCTTAGATGTACATATGCAAAAGTTTTAAGTAATATATTTTTTGTTATTAGAAACGTCTTACAAAATTGTGAAAAAAAAAAATTATAGAAGAGTTTGATTTAATAATTGGATGTATTTATACTGAGAAACTCTTAAACATTATATATTGTTCGACTGGCAAATTTTATGAAAGACGCCATTACTACTTTGGATTTATTACTTACCAATTCACGGAGAAGTAGCCCATGGTTTAATAACGACTGCGACATGAGTAGTAATTTATTAGAGGAAATGGGATATATTCATAAAAAATTTAACGAAAAAACTCTATCATGTAATGTAATTTCTACATACTTTTGGATATTAAATACTATAGATAATTTTTTTAATAACATAAAAATGATGTACGCGCTAAAAATGTGGTCTATTGTGTGTTTGTACCTTATGATACAAATTATTTATGGAAGGAATGGAATCTAGAATACAAAGCCATTAATGACCAAGGTATAAAATTAGTGTTTTTTGTATTCATAAACAGAAAAATAAAGGATTATATCAAGACAATATTAATAGAAAAGTATTTTCAATTGGGACTTAAATTTGATTCAATCACCGAAGAAACGTTTTTATCAACATCAAACGAATCAATTGAACACCCTGTATAAAAAAAAAATTTGTTAATTAAAATATAATTTTATTGTTTTAAAACATTTGTATTTTATAAATAAAGAATTGGAATTAGAGAAAACAGACGAAGGACCTCCAATGCCAATATAAATAGAAACTCATTAAATATTATAATAAAATTAATTTTGTCTTTGATTTATATTTTAAAATTTACCAAACTTTACATAATTACTTTGTAAACATTTAAATAAATATTTTTAAAACATAGTAATATTATTTTATTTTTAGTAACTGAAAATAAATTTTATTATGTAAAATTGACTTGAAAACTTTTTCTTTCTTACTATCAACATTTTTTTGTATTATTTGATGTACATAAAGAAAGATAGACATTTTTGTTTGCATTAATGTCTAGAGCTCATTAGAGAAAGAAATATTGAAATCAATAATTGTTTTGTTAGTTATCTTAGTAATAGTTATAAAAGAATAATTAATGTTATGTTTATAATTATGTTGTTAAGTTGCTCAGTGTTTGTGAAATTTTCAGGTATTCGTTATCGCATCCGAACACAATTGAATGTTTGTTGAATTACACAACCATACAAAAGAAAACCAGTTTTCGATTTCGGAAATCTAACCATGTTTACTATTTGTTTTTGAGGTTGCTGAATCCCGAATCTGAGGTCGCAATCACCCCATCGGGCCAGGGTTTTTCATAACCTTAACAAAATCCCTTCGCCGAGTCATATAATGATAAACCTTTTACATCAAACCTTTTGAAATCATAACACAATCACCCCATAATATCTCGTTACCATAAGGACATAAACATATAACCCCATAATTCCATTGCCCCCAAGTCAAACAAAACAGTTAATCTCAGGCAATTTGTATCAATGCAAATGATATGTTCTTAAAATATAGCTAATGATTTTGTATCTCTTTAAATAATTATTAAATACGATCAGCACAATTAAATTAAAATGATATGAAAACTTTTATAATTAGTTAGATATTAACCATAATTTTAAAATAAAAATAATTTAATAGCATTAAAAATAAAAAGCTAGCACAGGGTGTCGCGGCACAGTGGTGACGTATCATAATTGGGTCAAGTATAATGATATCTGACAGTAATTAAAATCACTATCATAAAAAACGCTTTGGTGCAAATCTGTAGATAATGTTTTATTAAAAAAATTAGAAGATTTTCCAAAAGCAGAATAATTAGTAGTTTTATGATTTAGAAGAATAAAATAAATATAATATAATTTAATAAAATATAAAAGGTAGCACAGTGGTTTTTTTTAATATATATTAAAGTATATTACATAAGCTTTAATTTAAGATATATATAAAAGTATCAGAGTTTCTGGAACACTTTCAAAAGTAAAGTTGAAAAAGTTAATTTTTTGTAAAAAAAATTGTCATTATGAATCGCTTCTTGTGGGCAGGTGAAGGGTCAGATTTATAAAAAAAATATACCAAATGAAAGGTAAAACATCATGCATCTATAAAAAAAAAAATAGTAATTTGGTCATTTTTGATAAAGTTATGGCAGTTTTAAGTAAAAAAAATTGAAAAAATGTCGAAAATTAGCGATTTTGAAATTTGTAATTTTTTTGGAGATTTCCCCCATTTACGGGGAATAAGGGAAATTTTTTCAATTTTTGAGGGTAATGAATTCGATTAGAAACAATTTGTGATTTTTTGACGTATTGTTGAAATAAATCAGTCTGGTGAGAGCTGAGTAAAAGTGGCGACAGACATAAAGAAAAATCACAGATTGTATCTAATCGAATTCATTACTCCCAAAAATTGAAAAAAATTTTCTTGTTCCTCGTAAATGGGGGAAATCTCCAAAAAAATTACAAATTTCAAAATCGCTAATTTTTTTTTGAAAATCAGAAAATGTTAAATCACTAATTTTGAATTATGTCTTATATAATCAAACATTATTTTTGAAAACTGTTTTAATGTTTGTTTAGACATTATTTTAAAACATTATTCTTTGTAATAAAAGTTTAGTAAGATCTTTTTTTATACTTAAAAGAAATTTATTTTTAACTACATATGTTAGTATAAATATTTATTTTATTATTTATAAATGTTGCATAGAATATATACGGGTCTACTGAAATTTTTTGTATTATATTTAAATAAAAAACTTTTAGTCATATATAAAATTAATAATTTTCTAGATGTTTTTATTAAAACTTTACATATTTAATTTTGTAATGTTTTCTGTGATGATGTGTACAAATTCAAAGACGAATTTAGAAAAAGTAGATCAGTTAGATACTATGTTAATGTATTCGGGATGGAAAAATCTAAATGAGTTGATCTCCGTAACATATTACAATAGAATATATCATCTTCAAAATTTGATTAATACACCTACTCATATTCATAAAGTTGGTCAAAAAATAAGAGCTTTGACTATATTTATTGGATGTACATACGCAAAAGTTATGAATGATGTATTATTAATTATAAGCAAAATCCTAAAAGAATGTCAACAAATTTTTAGAGAAAATATTGACATTACAAAGGGATGTATTTGCACTGAAGAACTCATAAACATAATATCATTATTTATTACTCCATTGGCTACATTGTTAAAAGGAGCTATGGATACTTTGGATTTACTACATGCATTACCTTTGGCATATCAAAAACATAACTACCTGGTAAGTCCTGAATTAGGAAGAATGGGAGATATTCTTTTCAATTTAAATATACAAACACTATCACGTAATGATATATCTTCATACACTAGGACATTATATAATATAGAGGTATTTTATGATATCACATTGAAATCTTTATATCATGACACTGAAATCTTTTGTGAATTTGTAAATTTTAATACGAATTCTGTATGGAAAGAATGGGAAGAAGAATATAAAGCCATTATTTACCACAATGTAAAATTAGAGTTTTTAAGATTCTTTAAAAGAAAAATTAAGAATTATATCAAGAAAATAATTATAGAAAAGTATTTTCAACTGGGATTTAAATTTGACCCAACCACAGAAGAAACGTTTTTATCAACACCAAACAAATCAATTGATCTTGGTATATAAAAAAATTATTTTTTATAATATATATACAATGTTTCATACATTTTTTTATCATTTTAGAATTGGAATTTAAAGACATTGATGAAAAGCCTCCAACGTTAATACAAATAGAAAATCATCAATTGTTTTAATAAAATAAAATTTGTTTTTATTAATGTTTAATAATTAATCATAATTCACATAATAAATGTATAAATATTTAAATAATCATTAAAATATAATAATATGATTCTATTTTAAATAAAAAATAAATAATGATATTATCATTATTTATCAATTTAAAAAAAACAGAAGAAGAGCCTTTAACACCAATAATAATATAAATTCATTAAATGTTTTAATTAAGTAAAATTAATCACAATTTACATAATGATTCTGTAACTCTTTAAATAATTATTAAAACATAAAAGTTTTTTTTATTTTTAGTAAAAAAAAAATAATAAAAAACGCAGCACAGGGGAATCGCGGCACAGTGATGACGTGGCATAGTTGGATAAAGTATAATGATATATGACAGTGATAAAAATCCCTATAATAAAAAAGGCTTCGATGCAAATCTTAAGATAGTGTTTAATTTTAAAAAATTGGTGGATTCCTTTCCTGATAATATCCTGATTAAGATAATGTATGTAGAATGAAAAAGGGATATAAATATTATTTCTCATAAAAAAATTGTGTTGATCCATACACTTTTCAATAAGTTATAGCATTATAAAGTTAAAAATGTAAAAAATAAAATCGAGAATTTATACTCAAAAAAAGCATTCGGTAGCCATTATCACTAGGAAGACAAAATAAAGTTCAAACTTTTTTTTTTCTGTAATAATGTAAATTGCATTAGCTTTATTTTAAGATATATATAAAAGTGTTAGACTTTCCGGAACACTTTCAAAAATTAAGTAAAAAATTTTATCAATATAAATTTTTGTTAAATGTAAAAGTAAATTTTTTGTGAAAAAGTTGTCATTTTAAATCTCGCCAGTAGGCAGGTAAAGGGTTAGATTTATAAAAAAAATATACCAAATGATAGGTTAAAACATCAAGCATCTATAAAAAAAAATTATATTGATTTGTTTATTTTTTAAAAAGTTATGGCAGCTTTAAGAAAAAAAATTGAAAAAATTGAAAAAATTAGTGATTTTTAAATTTGTAATTTTTTTGAAGGTTTCCCTCATTTAATGGAAAGGAGGGAAATTTTTTCAAATTTTAGGGTAATGTCTTCGACTAGATACGACTTGTGATCTTTTGACATATCATTGAAAGAAATCGGTTCGGCGAGAGCTGAGAAAAAGTGGTAACAGGCAAAAAAAAAAAAAAAACACGTCATAGTAATACCAATATCTTCTCAGCTTTGCATCGAAGCTATCGAAATATTTGCATCGAAATATTTAAGATAATTTTAATAGAATAATTTAATTCACTTATTTTATAAAAAAAAAAATAAATAAAAATTGTTATTTAAAAAGATTAATATTATTGGAATTACTTAATTAACTAAGAAAAAATATATTTCTATTGATTAATTTTCACATAACTTGATCATTATTTAATAAATAAACTATTACACAATATGTGTTTATTAATAATTAAATTTGACCATTTATAAGTTATATGGAACAATTATAAATCGATATTATTTTTATTTTATAAAATAATCTGCTGGTTCATTAAATGTAGATAACATTATATACTTGATAATAATTACATTAGTTATTTGATTTTGACAATGAATAATTGAAATTTTTAATCAAAATGATAATTCGATATACATGTCATGAATCAAAATTAGATTAAATATCATTTAATTATATTTAATCTGTGATAATTAAGTATTTTTCCAAGTAATTCCGCCTTTAAAAAAGAAATCAAGTAAAAATTTCTATTTCAATTAAAATTGTGTTTATATATTTGTTAAGAATACTGTCATTTAAGATACTACCACTTTTTTATTTAACCTACAGCTTAACAAAATTTCTATGGATAAATTATTATTGAACTTACAATGTCATATAATAATAGTTTAAGAAAAATTTGTTCCACATATTTTACTTAATTTTCGTATTCACTCAGTTTTTCATTTATAATGTTATTTAAATGATTTATCCCCATGAAATACGCCACAAACATTGAACTAGAAACTTCTTTGTGTGTCACAATAATCCCACCAACTTTTAAATCACCATTTGTTTCCCTGCCGAGTTTGCACATAAAAATGGAATAAATCTTTATTTGCGACAACTTAACGGACAACGTTATTCACATAATATCAGTTGTAATATTGTATAATAGTGATTCCATATGAACTTCTGCAAATACAGTTTTTCGCCATGCAAATGTTCAACTTCAGTATTGCTATTATTGTTGAAAATAAACAACAGTATTAATTAACTTTTATCATTTTGTGTTGCTATTTATGTTACGACTGCTGAGGTTATTCGAAGTTTCAGGCGCTTGTATTAACAAAGTAGTTCTGAATCATCGACAGTGTCTATAATTATTTGGGGTAAAAGACATGTTTATAATGAATACTGGTAATGCAAGTAACTTACTGACTAATTCAAATTAATTATGATACTCGTTGCGATTATGAATATTTAATTAATTAGACGATTGTGGTGTATCAATCCGTAATAATTCTACTTCCTAGTAAACTTCATTATACTATTTTTTTAACACATTTGAAACATTAACCGTAACATACCCGTCAGGTATTTATATGATTTTGTACGCATACACTAATGAACTGCTTTTGAATTTTTAATATTCAATTGCTTCTTGTCTTATATTACACAGGGAAAAATAATTTTATATTCTCACACTCTTAATTGTCATATTCCATGAATAGTTTATTATTTTTTTATTCATAACAAAATAACACATAGTATTTGATATGCTTACAATAAATACACTAACATGTTCATAAACGACAAAATAAAAGTGTTGTATGTCGTTTTTTCTTCATCGGGTTAATTACTGACGGATTCGAGTTCTAATCCACCTTATTCGTGATTATGTACAATATCAGAAATGTCATTGTAAAAATGTTAAGTCATTTTTAAAATATATAAATAATGTTCACTGAAAAAACAAAAAGATTTATAATAATTTACTATCAATTTCAATAAAAACAAAAATGAAATTTTAAGAGATTTATTTTTAATTTAAAGAAACGAAATGAAAAATTATCAATTAGAAATAATAATTCTTATAAAATAAATAACATTTCAATGGACAATACATATTATATATCTTTATAAATAAGAGCAAAGCCTAAGTCTTCTTCTTCAGCGTATTCATTTATAACGTCTTCAACAAACATAGGATCTCTCACCATGGATCCAAGTAGTTGTTTTTCTATCGCTATCGATGATAACAAAGAAAGTCGCTCATTTTCCATAGTATTTCTTAAAAATGATTTTACGCGTTTTAATGTAGTCAAAGATTGATTGCTAGGTGCACGAGTAATAGGTAAAGACAATATTAACTGGCACAGTTTGGTGTATTGGGAATATATTTCATGTAAATCATCTGAAAAAAATTATTGATTTTCAAATTATTTAAAATAATACTAATTTTTTAATCAACCTACTTTTAAAAAAATAATCTAACATTTTACGAGAGGATATGCGTTTTTCAGTATCTGAGTATACTACTTGCAACTCATTACGTAAACGATGTTCATCAAAGTAACTTGGATATTGATTAAGTAACTGCGATAGTTTGACTTCAGGAAAAGTTTTTGAATAATGTTTATATAAGTTTTCATTTGTTAATTCAACGAACTCTAGGTATGAAAAATCATTAAATCTAATATCAATTTGTTCAATAAATGAATCTAATATTTCATAAGTTAACTTGCGAAGAAAGTTTTTTTTATGAATATCATAAATCAAAATATTATTCATCATATTTGATTCTTTACAAAAATAGTCTACTAATTTTTTATTTTTCATCATCAAAATGTTTTCTCTTAGATTTTAAATTTTATTAACACAACCATTAATATCAGACATATTTTTGGATTGCAAAAATTAAGAAAATATGTTACAATTAACTGATATTTGGTTAAATAAGTTTATAAAGTAGACAAAATCAGAATCGTTTAATTTATCTAATAAACTAGATGCAATCGCAATAAACATTGGATCCCAGTTCTTAACTTCAGTCACATATTTTGCTGTATTTATAATTTTTTGAAAATAAAATTTAATTGTTGAAGCACCTTGAGAATATAAATTCCACTCTGTGTCGTATTGAAGTGGAAGTTTAAAATCTTGTTCTCTAAGAAGTTCACTTATTTTAGTTAATCGGCTAAAAAACGTATGAAACATCCTTATACTACTTATGAACATTTTTACTGGCTGCATCGTTTTTGCACCGTTTATTAATACTGAATTTTTATCATGCCATAACAATGCATAAGTAACGCACTTGGGTATAATTTTCTTATGATATTTTGAATATTATTTCCATTAGCCATTATTAAAGCTCCATCATAAGTTTGGCTTATAATTTTATTTCCTATTTCCCATTTTAGGATTTGAGCATTTATCACTTCAGCTAAGCCTGATTCAATTTTATCCCTAGAAATATCAAAAAGTCCAATAAATCTCTCTACAACATTTTTTCCACAACATATCGAAATATTATGCTCATTTGTGATCGACATAAAACTGTTGTGATACCGTTCATCGCTCAAATTTAATATTATTCGCAATGTTTATCATAAAACAAATAATTATCTTAAATTGATATCATAGCATAATCACTAATGTAATTAATACAATGTTTGTACTTGTTCAGTTTAAAATTAATATCTGTATCATAAATGTAAACACTGTAAATTAATCTACAAAGACAATGTATTAAGTAACAGTATCCCTAACAAAAATCATATGTACCACAACCAATGCAATATATTATCCCTGCTTATAATTTTCGTTTCAATAAAGATGAGAGCTCTGGTGTTCAATTCCTACATTTTAGTGACATATATAGATCATAGATTCCATATAAAAAGCCGTAAAAAGCTATAAAATAGGGACATTCCACTTCTCAAGCCTAGAGTCAAATGAAGCAATAGACCACCAGTCTCTCAAATATTCAGAAAGAAAAACTTGTCAGTCTTATTCATTTCAATTCCGCACAAACATTATAAAGTAGGTGATACATTTTAATTCCAATAATTTGGAATTATTTAATCCGAGAAGAAAGTGACAAAACAATAGTAATTAATTTATCTTTACACATACTAAATTTATTAACTGGTTTTTCATGAGAATTATTAAATGCGTTCGAAGTGCTTGACCAAAGATCGAACCTACGCATTTTCTTATTACGTTTCATAGTTGCCGACTTAAGCTCGTGCCTTTGAAACATGAGACTATTCAAATGATTCACCAAAGTTTATAAAATTTGATACACACATTAATTCTCAATATTTATCATAACCCTTTTATTAAATTGTATTGTCATTCTCTAAAACCCTCGGACTCCACGACCCCAATAATATTAAGTAAACTGAATTATAGTAACCAAAAGTAAGATGAGTGATTTTATTCAAGTGCTCAAAAATTCAAAGTAATTAATCAACATACCCAATTTTATTTATTATATTATATCACAACCAAAACCTTACTTTTGGCTCACTATAAAACATCGGTAGTTTCATCTGCTAGTATAGAAACAAAACATGCAGATTTAATTTCTTTTAAAATTCTCAAGTTTAAAACTTATGTCACACATTGTATTATATCGCTTTGAACCGATGAAGTTATAAACTGCTCTTTAAGAAATTGTTCTTCTTGTGGAAGTAAATCAAGTAATTCCAGACATTTATCTCCAGTAAATGATTCGATATTCCCTTGACGACTGTGAAAATCGAGTTCTTGTTTTCCCAAATAACAGACTACATGAACCATTCGAGCCAACATTCGTCTATTAACACCAACCTTTTCGTTATGTTTTTGCGTTGCTAGTCTTCGACCATCTGAAACTGCATGTACAATACGAGTTCTCCCTAAGAGATGAAAAAGTTTAAGATTTTTCAAGTGAGTTTTTGAATAGAATGTTTTTCTGCTTTTCTTGTAATATTTTTTATATTAGATATTTCATCCAGACTCCATTGTTCGTCACCCCCAAAAAACACACAAATGAAACAAAAAAGTTTGTTGCATTTATCACAACCACTAAACCACGAAAATTTACTGTACCAACTACTCTGAAATCTACGTGTAAAATTTCCGTCTTTATGTTCCAACAACAAAGGAGGGGTAGGCTTTTGGTTTTTGAGCTTACATTTTACATCGTATGTCACTGAACGAAAACCATTGTCTAATAATTCGTCTAAGGCACAATGATTTAGTTGCATAACTCAAATATTTCGATATAAACGAGAAAATAAATGACGATGGATTTCATGGATTGTCATATTATTTGAAATCCTCAAGCTTTTCAAATAATGTATTACTTAACTATAAATACAAACTTTGTTTTATAACCTCTAATGTTTGATATTCGGCACTTTTAGATTGCAATATATTTTTAAAAATTTTGGACCTCCAACCAATTTTATGTACCAAATCTTTTAGCATGTTTTTTGTCAAGGACATGTATGCAACTCTATCTATCTCTTCATCTAAAATGTTGTGCATGTTTAATATTTTTATTTATTACTTGTGAAAAACAAGCTTTATTTTTCCTAGGAATGATTATATATATTTATTTTTCATAGTATTATAAAAAACATTTATATTTTTTTTTACCGTACGAATGTCAAGTTTTTAATTTATATATTAAAACTAAAATTTATCAACATTTAAAAATACAAACATTTGTAGGTTTGAATAATGAATTGTATTATTAAATATTGTATTCTACAATTAATGATCATTTGTTTTATTCCTGTGTGATACTCTATTTTAAAAATCATTTTATTTTAATTTAAATAAAAATTTATTTTCATTGTTTTACTAATTTAAATATATACATGATTAATATTTATATTAGACGAGCAAAATTTTAACAAAATTGTCATTTTTCTACCGTTGATCATTTAAAAGAATTCAAAGAACAATTATTTTCTCTAGTAAATATATAATTTAATGAATACTTTTCTTACCTTCAAAAGTTCGAATTAGCTGTTCAAGATTTAAATCTTTCAACTTATTTTAAATCCATTCATCCATTATTGCAATTATTTTATAATATATTGTTAAATTATACAATTATATATGTTAATTATCAAAATCAAACAATTAACGGAAAACTATATTAATATATAGATCAGATTAAGTTTTCGTCGACTATCGTTCTCAATGGAGCAACGAATGATGAATCGTTCATATATATTGGCCAATAAGCCCGACGCGCGTCTTTGTCTGGAAAAAGCTGCAATTTTTCCATCGATGAATTCAAGCGCGGTCCATAAAACAGAAGTTTTATAAAGATATCTGAATAGATTTTTCCCGGGTACTAACAATTAACTCCTTGTGCAATTATCATACTATCAAAATCGAATAGCGCTTTAATTAACATATCATTGTACAAGTTATAACACTACTTACAAACAATAGCAAATGCTAAATGCCATTTTTATTTTATATGTATTGTCCAGTTTTCCATAATAATATGGTTGTATTACCTATACTATATAGTTGCCTTAACTAAATACTGGTTATTAATATGGTATATAATATGGTAAAAATAACCATGTATAATGACTAAATTAATTTGGCTGATCCAACCATACGTTACTGGGTAGAATTACTGACAAAGACAGTTGCAAATACTATAATATGGTTCTCCTAACCATAGTATTTCTAACCATTTACCATACTAAAATCATTTTTTTCCGTGTACTGATTTTTTTAAAAAATAATTTAAAAAATATTAAATACATACTGATTCATACTGATAAATACATACAATTTATACTGACCACGAAAATTTACATTTATTTGTTACTTACTGAAATATAATATTGAATTTTTTTGTGTTCTTATTATAAATATAATGACAATTTCTATTAAACAAGTAATTGAGAGTCGGTGATAAAAAGCCTAAAATTTTATTTAATTTTTTTCCAATGTCATATTTTAGATTATAATATTCAGATGATTTCAGATAGATAATAAAATTGTGTTTTAATTAATTATTTAAAGATATAAAAATTGTTTTGAAAATTTTGATAAATCATAAAATATTTAATTAAAAAAGAATAATTATTATACAAATTTAATAATTTTCTATTTTTACTGGCGTTGGAAGCTTTTTACTAATTCTCATTTCTAAATTAAAAAAAAAAAAAAAAAGACATTAACTTATTATTATAATAAATTTTTTATTTATATTTTAAATACCTCGTTCAAATGGATCATTTGCTGTTGGTATAAAAGATTCTTCAGTAATTGGATGAAATTTAAATCCTAGTTCAAAATAATTTTCTATAATTATTGTCTCGATATAATCCTGAATTTTTCTATTTAAGAAGGTGAAATAATCTAATGGTACGCCATTGTCTATAGTGGATGCATATTCCCGATTCCATTCATTCCATAAATAATTTCTGTTATATGATACAAAATTACAATAAATGTTAGTATGACAGTGTAAACATTCTATTATGTTTTTAAAAAAACTATTTATGGTTTCTAATGTCCTAAAGTATGACGATAAATTATTACGTGATAAAGTTTGTTTGTTTAAAATATCTGAAATATTTCGTATTTCCTTTAATAATAAACATATCATGTAATTATTTCTTTGAATAGTCCATGGAGAAGTATGCATATAATGTAAATTATCTATAGCTCCTTTCATCAATGTTGCCAATGGAACAATATATAAGGATATTATGGTTATGAGTTCTTCGGTGCAAATACGTCCTTTTAAAAAGTCATGTTCTTCATATAATTTTTTTTTACATTTTTGTAGGACTTCGCTAATTACTAATAATAGATTATCCATAAGTTTTGCGTATATACATCCAAGATATATAGTCAAACCTCTTATTTTTAGATTACATTTAGTGGGAACTGTTGGTGTTTCAATCAAATTTTGAAGATAATATCTTTTATTGTAATATGTTATGGAGATCAAATGATTTAAATTTAGCCATCCGGAATACTTTAGTAACTCATCTAATTGCTTTGTAGTTTCCATTGAATTTCGTTCTGATTTTGTATATAAAACCATGTAAAATATTAAAAAACTATACTTGACAGGTTTTAATGAAAACATTGCAAATAATAATTCCTGAATTTTTTTATTAAAATATAGTTTGATAAAGTGTTAGAAGACTCATTTAATTTATACAACTTTTAAAAATAATATGATAATCAATTAATAAAATATCTGTCATTATATAATAAATTTCTGTTAGTTTTTAATTTTTTATTTTTTATTCTAACTAAATATTTGACGAAAATTTTTCAATTTTTTATCTATTATTAAGTAATAAAATAAGACAATTAATATAGTTTTCAAAAATATTGCTTGATAATATTTAACAGAATTTATTTTAAATTTTTTTAAATTTTCATACTGATCAATACTACTTATTCATATGTTGTTTTTTACCGTATTTTTAATTAATATAAACAAATATAGTTATAATATAGTTAAATATCCATCGATTTACAGACCTTTAAGTATGATCGACTCTTTTTGAAAAATTGTTGAATGTGTTATTAAACCATAATTTATATAAAGGTTTGGTTTTTATGGAAATTAAACAGGCAAATCATATTTTTTTAGATGATGTCCAAATATTTACTTGTCTCACAGTAGATTAATATAATTAAAACAGAGTTAAAAAATTATTGCGTTATTATATTTTACTCAATCAAATGAATATTTTAACATTTATATTGATCATTATAATTTATATTTATTTATAAATGAAAAAGTAAATATTTCCTTCATGTTAGAAAAATCTATTAAAAAAAAAAAAAATACTCAATACCTTAAGTGTATTATTATTATTTATAAATACATTAAATAAATTATTTAATCTGCAATGAATAATCCTGGCTGGTAAATGTATGTTGAAAGTTAGATAAATTGCAGCAGAAAAATGTTTGAACCAGTGAATAAACCATATAATATATTCATTATCTTTAGTTTAGTATTATTGTTTATAAATATAATAAATAAATTATTTAATCTGTTATTTTTAAATTAAATTATGAATTTCACGGATAGTCAGAGCTTTTATTGAAGATAAATTACCCCTATTTAAAAAATAATAATTTTTATTTAATATATACTTTTTAAATACAATAGTTTAAATAAAATTGGGTATTGTGGTGATATGATAAATATAAATATATTAAATATTAAATAGTTTATGTTTATTATCTGATATTGTTATTTTATAATGTGTAAATAAAATGTCTTGCCATTACCATCAAAATGATCTACTAAAATCATCACTTTCTCCAAATAAAAATAATAAAAACTCTTAACAGAAAATTTAAAGGCAAGTATAAATTATTAAAAGAAATAATTTTTGATATCCTATAGTTATCCTAACTATTGGAATTTTTCTATCAATATCCTATTGATAGAAAAATTGAAATGATGAAATATTAATTTTACTGTTTACTGTAAACTCGAATTTTGTAAGTCTATAAATAACATACTTGCACTATTCGAGTTTACAAAATTATATGTATATTAAATTTTTTTTAAATTAAAAGACACACACCCACATATATATTAAATGTTAAATGTCTTATTTTAAATGTTAAAAATAAAAAATAATTTGTAACATTATGTTAATCAAAAAGTTTTATTTCAAATCAAGCCAATGTATATATTTATATTAATAACACAAACTAATAAAAACTTTTTGAGTTCACAAAATCTTTATTATACAGATAAATGTATTAGAAAAATAACTTCAATAGAACAAAAATAAAAATATTTTCTTTAATGACACCACAAAAAGTAAATCTTTCTATTAATGTAAATCTTAAATTGTCAAAATAATGAATTTTTATTTTTTGAGTATAATTATTTATATGAGAGACGGATAAAAATAAATCGAACTAAAAAATAATTCTTATATTCGTGTAAATCTTTAATTTTTGTGAATTGAAGGTAATTATGGGGCAGTATAAATCTCTCAAGTTTTTCTTGTAGCTGTGAGAATTTCATTTTAAGTTTGATTATTGTTACAAAATGTATAAATAGTTGCACTTTGATTGATAGATACTGTAAAATTTTATATAAATTAAGTAAAACATATCTAGAAGTGACTCAATCGTATTATTGAAGTTTTCAGTTAATATACTTGTTTTTTTTTCTTTTTATGAAATCGAATAGATTTTTAAAATTCATCTAATGTAGTCATGCATAATTTATTTTTATTTGATTTACAATCATATATCGAAATTGCAACTTTGGTTATAGCCAAAGTTAGAATACCATGCAATATAGAAGTATATTTAATGTTTAACCAACTGCACCGTAACACATGTTATAAAATAGTTCAAATATTTGTGATTTTTCAGGGGGTATTAGGGAATGATTTCATTAGTTATTTTTGAGTGACGTATTTATATACTTTCGAGGTTATTATATTTAAATTTAAGATGATTCAGAAGGAATATTTTTTTTTATCATAATTTCATGTTTATTCTATACTAGAAAAATATCACTAGAGACCAAAAATAGTGATTTATATTACTGAATGTTATAAATAAATGAATAGATATCTAAATGTGAACTAATCAAACTCAGATATCTATCAATACATAATATAAACATTTAATACTTGTAGTTAATCATGTAACTATCATAAGATATATTTCACTTCAATATAATTATCACTGTGAAAATTATTTATTAATGATATTGTGCATAACTCAAGACAACTTTTTTTAAATATAAATGAAAAGTATTTAATTTAAAATTTAATTTTCTACGAAAAAGCAACTTACAATGTTTAATTTTAAAAAGTTTTGTTAGTTACCATAATTTTCACCATTTCAATAAAATGGGAATAATACAATCATTTCTATATCAGTTTATAAAATATTAGTTAATTTCCAAATTATTGTTACCGATATAAACCGAAAAATATAATTTTTAGAAATAAAATTAGTATGTTACTATATAAAATTATTAAATAGTTAAATTTTAAACTTTTAGCGTTCACGGAATAAATTAAACTATAAGGTTAAAACTTTTAAGGTTCATCGAATGAATAAAGTTATAACGTTATAATTTATAATGTTACCGAAAAAAATAAGGAATATTATTATATTTTTGAATGATATTGTTCATGAACGTTTGATATAGAGAAAAATTAATTAATCATTAACGGTACCCTGTTTCAAAAATCAAGGTAAAATGACAAAAAAAATAATAGTTATATAATTCTAAATCAAAACGTCAAGTTTTGAGGAGAAAGAAACGCAAACTTTTTTAAAATTATTTTTAGCTAATACATAAATATTAAATATATTTTACCATAAATAATTTTACAAATAAATATTAATATTTAATAATATAAATTTTAACTCTAATTGAAGACTTTGGTTCAATAAAGAGTCCTGTTTATTTTTTCAAATTCTTCAGGGATAAAAAAAAATGTTATTCTACAAATAAAAATTTGAATATTAGCAAAAAATTGTACATAAATTGCTGGTTGGGACAGTAATTTAAATAATTTCCTTGTAAAGAGATTCATTTTCTATGCTTCTCTAACATCAAACCCAGATAGAATGTAGTAGCCGTGTTTATTCGATATATAAAGTAATTTAATTGTATTCATTATCTCTTTACATCTACACCCAGAGAAAAACCTCGATCTATATAATAAATTCATTGTTCAATTTGATAAATATATCATTACTATTGAATCAATGATATATTTATCAATATGATATTTTTTTTTCTTGTCTTGAACAATAATTATTTATAAGAATAGTTATTTTGTTCGTATTAATAAAACATTATCATAAACCCTTGATAAAATTTCTCTTTCAATTTTGATTGAGGTTTTTCTTTGGGTATAATGTTGCATCTTAGAACAGTAGAAAACAACTGTTTTCCGTTGTTATCACGATCAAAGATAATATTTCATCGTAGATTTTGGTTGTAATGAATTGAATAATAAACGTATAACAGGGGTGCCAACATTAAAATAAGCAGCTCAATTAATAAAACAAAACTGTGATAATTTTTTTTCATATTTGCAAAAGATTACAAATAACTAAATAACTGTTTACTGCAAAATTTTGTGATTGAAAAAAATCACATTTAAAAGCTCTTTTTGAAAATTCTCTATATATATCCGATCATAAATCGGTACTTGAATAGTTAATAAGTAAAATATATTTTATTTATAAATACATGTAATTTAATATTTATGTATAACAGATGATAATTATAAAATCATCGATAAGTAAATGTTACATGACAACTATATTTTGAAGTATGACCAATTTAAAAATATGTTGATTTCACAACTAATCTACAGTTAATTAACTAAGACATTTGATTGATAAACATCACACTGTTTAATTGTCGTTTTAATCACTTTTGATTAGCTAACTGGCAGTTGAAATATCGATTGATAACCGCCCTAAGGAAAATGAATGAGTAGTGTTAAAAGTATCACTTTGTGTATAACTATTCCTCAATATTTAATCTTGCCTAGAGTTATAATTTTACTTAAAAATGATCTATTTCAAAATGTATTGTGTACATTTGTTATGCAGGATTAAACTCTGGTGTTTCATCAGAAAAAATTTTGGAAACAATGGATATCGATATTGATAAAAAAATATTTCACAGATTTTTATGAAGTGACTGTTTATAGGCTAACTAATGAAGAAAAAATTGGGACATAATTACTACTTCTAAATATGAACAAATAATGTTTTTAAATTTCAATGTTAAAATTATAAAATAAAAATAACAATGTAAAGTATAATAGTTAAACAATATAACGCAAAAATTGTATTAACATCCATTTATATCTAAGAAGCATAAAAATTAATTAATTATTTCTATTTATTTATATGATTTATTTTTACTTAAATTGAACTTAAAGTTAAAGTTATATTATCACAATATAACATGACATGACATCAAGATGTCATGTCATCATTATTGTAAAATGTATGGAATAAATTCACACTTCCGAAAGCAGCGACTGTTGAATTATCAATTAATTTAAAATACAACTATGTAATCAATTTTAACACATCGAAACTGACCATCGTAGTTAGTCGACTTCAATACACAATATTTGTTTATGAACAGCTATCATAATCGGTCCCAGTACTTTGTTGTCG